GGCGCCGGTGCCACCTCCTCGGGACAGGCTTGCGTCCGCCCGCAGGCAACCAGGCAGGAGGGGACAGCGGTTCCTAAGAGGTCTGAGGACACGGAACCTCCTCCCGTGCCACGCAGGGGACAGACGGGGACAGGAGGCTTGCCTCGTCCCTTCCAGCTAGACACAAAGTGCTTCTAAGGGAAACCACTGTGCATCCTAATTAACCCAGCGACCGGTCTGGAGCTAAGCTATTTGCCAACCACGAGCAAACCACCTCATGATACACCTTGACATCTAAGAGGTCTGAGGACACGGAACCTCCTCCCGTGCCACGCAGGGGACAGACGGGGACAGGAGGCTTGCCTCGTCCCTTCCAGCTAGACACAAAGTGCTTCTAAGGGAAACCACTGTGCATCCTAATTAACCCAGCGACCGGTCTGGAGCTAAGCTATTTGCCAACCACGAGCAAACCACCTCATGATACACCTTGACATGCGGGCGAAGACCATGAAGCAGCATCCTGACGGGCACAAGCGCCGGGCAGGGAAGAGGGGTGTGGGGAGAGCGCGGTGCTGTGTGGGGACAGCATCCTGCTCCCCGGCCACCGGCCCCATTCCCAACACCTGTCTCCACCCACCCAGGCGTCCCCCCTGCCTTTTGGGCTTTGTTTTTTTTTTGCTGTAGAGATGGGAACGAAGGCTGGAGAGTGGAAGTGTCACATGCACGCACGCAGCCACACACAGACCCGCGCCGGCGATACACAGGCACCACTTGTGTTCCCGACGGCAGAAGGTACGACGCCATCCGCTCCCCCCTCCCCTGTGAAAAGTTTCTTACATTTATACATTATTTAAGACACGCCGATATATAAATTACTGTCTCTATGTATACTATGTATAGCCAGCAGGGCCAGTCCGTGATGAAGGGCACCAGTGGGGGCCTCTGCTCATTTCCCTCTGTCCTCTGTGTAGTGCTGGAAGCGAGTGAAGCTCATGAAGACTTGCTCCAGGGAGATCTGGCTCACCGAATAGTCTTCCAAGCGATATTTCTCTTTGGCTTTCTCCAAGGCCCCGAAGACCTGCGAGGGAGGGCACGGCCATTACGGCAGGGTACCTCGGCTGTGGGAGAACCCAGCAGGCTGCGACGGAGAAAGCAGAGGAAGCTTTTTCCAAGGGAGACCCGGGGGAAGCGAAACCTTCCCTGGCAGGAGGGCGGTGGGAAGCCAGGAGATGGATTATTTGAGAGGTGCTGATGGGTCGATGCTGTGCCCACCAGTGCTGTGTTCCCAGTAGGGAGATGTGGAGTGGGAAGGATGCAACTACCAAACGCATCCCTTCCAGCACCCTCCAGAGCCTTCATGAAGTATTTTGAGATTTACAAACAAAGGCAAAATCAGCTCTCGCTCCCCAGGGAGACCCTGCTTTCCCTCTGAGGGCTGCGGCCAAGGGCAGCCAGCTCGGAGGGTTGGGACGGAGTGGTTCTGGCTCAGCACACACGGTGCATCCCGGGTGCGCACACGCTGGCCATGTAACGCAGGTGACCTGTTTGGGCCAGGAGGCGGGAGAGGGTCAGGGAGAAAAAACGCTTTCGAATTAGCTTGTTTTTTATAAATCACATGGATTTTGGACAGAGTGGCTCTGGAAGAATAGGAAGATGAGCTGAGCGGGAAAGCAAAGCACCAAAAGCATGCACAGGGGCTCCAGGAATAGGGCTGCCCCTCCAGTCCCCCCCGTGAAGGGGTAGGATGTGCTCCAGAACCCCCTTACCTGTGCCCAGCTGAGGTTCTTGTTGGTCAAGTGATAATGCACCATGCCCTGGTGCTCGTGTTTCAGGACACTGCCTGGGAGAGATGAGCAAGGAGAGGCTCTGAGTTAGGACACTCGCCAAAGCCCACGAGCAGTGTCCTGCCCTCCCTCCCTCGGAGGGCAACTGCTCCAGCAGCTCACGGTACCTGGGAAAGTCTTCTCCACGAAGGCCTTGAAGGCCTGCAGCTCACCCTCCTCCTCACTCCGTGTTTTGGCCAGCAAGGTGTAGCCGCTGCCAAACTTGCTTTTCAGGTGCTGGGGGCTGCCCAGGCATTTGAACTGCCCGTTCACCATGATGGCCAGCCGTGTGCACAGGGCCTCGCACTCCTCCATGCTGCAGGACAGAAGAGGACTTGTTCAGCAAAAAGACAGAACAGCAGAAGCTTCTGGGAAGGGGCTGGAGGTGGATTCCCTCCGCTCTGGGCTTTTGGAGGATGGAGACTTGAGTAAAGCCAGCCACTGCCAGCTGCAGGCAGTGTCCACCCACCAGGCTCTGGAGCTGGGTCCCATCCCTTGGAC